GTTGGAGTGTAGTGGCGTGATGTCGGCTCACCGCGACCTCCTCCTCCTGGGCTCATGCAGTCCTCCCACCTCAGCCTCCGAGAGTTGGGACTACAGGCACACACCACCACTCCCAGCTAATTTATTTATTTTTAGTAGAGATGGGGTTTCAACATGTTGGCCAGGCTGTTCTTGAACTCTGGACTCAAGTGATCTGCCTGCCTCTGCTTCCCAAAGTGCTGGGATTACAGGCGTGTATTTACCAACCTGAGTAGGTATTAATGCTATTCAGTTTTCACCCTTGAAAAGGGGGAGAAAGATATTTTTGGATTATTCTAAAATTAAATTATATGATGCCTAGGACTTGCCACAAAATAACCTGGAGCTGTGTGGGTAGGTGGGAGGCGAGAGGGAGTGCATACATAAATAAAAGAAGACTGGCCTGGACTGGAAATTTTGGAAATTATCTATCTGAGATAGATCTGTGGGGGGTTATTACGTTCTTTGTTTCCATATATGCTTGCATTTTTTATAACAAAACTCATCTTTTTAAAGCAGGGATTTAACCTCTCAAGCAAATGAGTGTGATTGTCACTTTAAAAATGCTTCTGATATTAAAATCACTCCCAGAGCAGCATAAATAAGTCATTTTTAAAGCTGGTGTGGAATGAAGTGATGATCCTGGGAAAATGTAAAGCGCTTTGTGTGTGGATACACATGTGGGCTGCGTTCATACCAGCTGCCCGGCCAGGACCGCCTCACCTCTCCGTACCTCTGGCCACTTTCCAGCCCCTGTTCTGACTCCAGCGGGGCCTGAATCCTCTCTGCTCCTCCAGGCCTGTCCTGGCTCAGAACATCCCTTATCCCCTGGACTATGTCTCCACCAATCCTGGGAAAGCTGGGTGCCACACGCCACCCTGTAAGCCCACTGATCGCAGAAGGCCACCTTCTACGACAACATAGCTGAAAACCTTCTCATCTCTTCTCTAAATACAGTTGTATTTTACTTATGTGCAAAATAAACACAAACGCAGTTTCCTGCCTTCAATCCTTCTCTCCTTTATTTCACAGAAGACACTTTGGTTCTCTCCCATAGGGCTTCCACTCTGCATGCCTTTCCCGACAGATGAGAACGTGTACGTCTGCTCACAGTTTCCCATGTTTGCTGTTCTGCGTCACCCTTGGAGGTGGAAATTACAGTGATTCCCGCCCAGGGAAGCAGCAAGGTGGGGTGAGAGAGAGAATGAGAGGGAGGCTGAGCTTCAAAGAGGCCAGGTGACCTTTGTCCAAGTGTGGCTGGCAAGTGACAGAGAAAGGGGGCTCAAAATATGGCCTCTCAGGTCTCAGGCTCCAGCGTTTCTGCTGTGCCTCGAACCCCCTGTGCTTCATGAGACTGTGCTCTCAAGTGCAAAGCAGGTATCTGTTGACCACACATGAATTTCTAAAATTTGGCAAAAGGATTTGAACACTCCAGAAATAGTGTGTATTTTAGACGGTATCCATTCCACAAATAAATTTGAGTATGACTTTTTTTTTTTATCATGGTCATTAGTAGATAAAACCTTATTTGTTTACAATTACCACTAATTCTATAGGATTTAGTTCACATTACAATACCTGGTTGTCCAACTACCAGCACTAATAGATAACTGAGTAGTAAGTTTGGAGAAAAAAAAAAACTGTGAACAGAAAGTCTATGCTTTTTAAGTCACAACAAAAAATGATAAATATTGTCACCAGGTGTGGTGGCTCAGGCCTGTAATCCCAGCACTTTGGGAGACTGAGGTGGGGAGATCACCTGACCTCAGGAATCCAAGACTAGCCTGGCTAACATGGCCAAACCCCATCTCTATTAAAAAAAAAAAATACAAAAAGTAGCCGGGCGTGGTGGTGGGCACCTGTAATCCCAGGTATTCAGGAGGCTGAGGCAGGAGAGTCACTTGAACATGGGAGGTGGAGGTTGCAGTGAGCTGAGATCACACCACTGCACTCCAGCCTGGGTGACAGAATAAGACTCTATCTCAATAAAAATAGTAATAAAATAATAAATTATACTGTCACTTATTTTTTGCCAGTGCAAATCGAGAAAACACGTGATGAGGGACAGTGCGTCGGACTTGGCCAAAAAGAGCCTGATCATGAAAGGACACCTGCTGAGGCCAGCGGCACAGTTCAGACTTCCACAGGACGCAGAATCGGAAATGCTTCAGCCTCGCTGCCCCTCTCCTCCCATCGTCAGCTCTGGAAAGGACACCTGCTGAGGCCAGAGGCACAGTTCAGACTTCCACAGGACGCAGAATCGGAAATGCTTCAGCCTCGCTGCCCCTCTCCTCCCATCGTCAGCTCTGGAAAGGACAGCGGGGGCCCTGTTTGGCATCTCGGGTGAGGACTGCTCTTCTTCAACAGAGGCTGCTTGCCTCTCCCTATCTTCTCACCCTTTCTGCTCTGAGTCAGGCTTTGCTCCCCAGTGAAACAGAAAGCAGGAAAGCAGGGAAAAGTGGAGCAAGTGGGAAATGCAGAGAGGCAGCGCCAGAGCACAGATCCACCGCAACGTGTCAGCCCATCGGCACTTGGAAAACACAAGGAAGGGCGCGCCAAACTCTGCAGCTTACAACACGGTACCTCAGAGCCCTTCTAAGAAATAGATGCCACACCCCAAGACAAAAAGAATCCACGCCTTGCACAATGGACTTGTACCATTTCCCGATACAAATGACGCTCATTTCCCAAGCAAAATACGAGGCATCTCCAGTGGCCTACGATGCAAAATTAGAAACCGACTCATTGCTGCACTGGAAACATGCCCTGTTCCCAGATTCCCTCCTGACATAAGGTTCTCATCTGCATCCTCCACACAGCATCTCCTACCCCTAATTCCTCTCTGACTCCTGCAGCCACTGCTGACCACTGCTGACCAGTGCCGAGCAATGCCGACCGGTGCCGAGCGGCGCCGACCAGCACTGAGTGGTGGCCCCAGGGAGGCTGAGCTCTCCTCCTGCAAGTTGCACCTGGATTCTGTGCTCCAAAGGGAAAACTGTTCCTGGTGATTCCCAAGTCCCAGTTCTTCCCACCTCTTGTGATTCCAGCTCACAGGTTCAGGCCTCTCCCTGGGTGCCCCGCTAGGTCTTGATCCTGGGGGCCTCTCTCCCAGAGATGAAAAGTCCTGTCTTGACCCTTGTGGCCCAGGGCTGGGGCCTGACACCCACAGCAGGCGCCCAGGATGCTAATTCCACTAATTTTCCCCATCCCCTGGGGACGCCTTGTCCCCCAGCGGCTCCTGCCAGGATCCCTTGCTCAGCTCCTTCTGTGAGTCTCAACACCAACCACCAGTGTGTCGTTCTCCCCGCAGGATGATGGAAGGCTTAGGTTTAAGTCTTCTGGTGTGCAGCAAGAATATACAAAGAAATCCAGTCTAACCAGTATATTGTTTAACAGTAAAATCTGGTTCATTTGTAAGTAGAGTTCTAAGCGTTTTCAGATACTGCTGTTACGTTTAAGCTACAGGCAGTTTACCCAAGGAATGTGATGTTGAAATGTGTTTCAGAATAAACTTCCGCTTGAAAATTACGGGCAATAAAATGTACCAGCTTTCTCCTTTTTTTTCTTCATTAATGAACTCAGGAACATAACAGCTCAATTAAAAATAAAGACTCATGCCTCACTTGGTTCTTTTAAGTCCTTTCAGTTTAATAAAACATTGGTGTTGAGGTGTCAGGTAATGGAAAGCGATCGCTCTGTTTCTGGCTCAGTATTCGCATTGGGCTTACTCATACATCCAGAGCCGTGGGGAGGGTCTTTTCCCTACCTCAGTCAGCACCTAGAATGCCTGCAGGCGGGGTCAGGTGTCAGAGGCATGGGGAAGATCAGAAAGGGTGAGACAGCCCTGGGGAAAGGGAGGGGCGGGGAGGAAGCGCCGAGGGCAGGGCCAAGACATCAGGTTTACTGCTGAACTGGGTCTAGAACAGAGTGAGAGGGAGGAGGGACTCCATACCTGGCTGTCGAATAAGTGGACCCCCAAGAAGAAAACCGGGTGTGAGTGTGGAGGTAAATACCAGCAATAGTGAGGCAAAGCAAGCGAGGATCCGTCCACAGCCGGGACAAGCTCATTCACCAGAAACCATGAAATGGAACCACCCCGAGATCATGGCCTCGTGCCTGTCCTCAGAGTGCCCCTTGACCACCACCTATCTCAGTCAAGAGGCAAGTCTCGCCTTTGCCCACATCCTCGTCTTTTTCCCTTCTGTTTCTTCTGGAAGGCCATGCGGTCCTGTAGGTCCTAGTTTTTAAAACCACATTCCTCAGACCCAGACCATGCTAGGTTTAAAGAATGAAGGCATGAATGAAGAAATGCAATGAGAAACAGTGGGAAGGTCTACCAGCTGGTGGGCATCAGGTGGGTCTCACCACTCACCCTCGGTGAAGCCCAGCCCGAGGCCATGGCCGGCAGCTGTGCTTCCTGGGTGAAGATCCCAGCCCTGCTGGGGTCACCACGTGCAACATGGCTCCTCCCAAGGGCAGGGCAAAGCCTTCAGATGGAAACACACGCATTTCCGTGCCAGCTAATACCTACCGGCGCCTCTGTGTTGTAGAGTATGGCGTATTGCAGATGTCCAAAAGTACACAAACTTTCAACTTTATAAATCACATGCAGTGAGGCTCTCCTGATTCAGAGAAAATATTGCAAGAGCCCACAACGTAACAATGCATTCCCAAAGCAAGCACTGAGAAAGCAGGAAGCAACGTGTCTGCACCTCATAATCTATTGCAATCTACAGAACACATTCCCTCCACTCTAGAGACCTCAAAATACGTTTTAAAATGATCTCATTCATTTAAATTATTACTTTTAAATTACTTTATTAGTTACTTGTGTGGCCATCCAAATAAGTCAGATTTCACTTGGAATAAAGCAGTGGTTCACCTAAGGACAATCTAGGACTCAAATATTTTCCTCTGTTAATCAATAACTGTTCCTTTTCCCAGCGTGCTTTCCCGTCAGGGAAATCGATGACTCTGGATAACCGTGTAGACACAGACGTGTCAGAGCACATCAGAGAACACAGACAAAAACGCATTTGGAGCCTTTCTCATCCTGGGCCTCACTCTGCCACTGTTCTGGCTGATTCTCCTCCGACCACGTGAGTCGGCGTGCACCTGGCAGGTGAGGCTGGGCAGCCTGGAGAGGCAGGAGGAGCAGCCAGTGAGAGGTACTTGGGGTGTTCTGCAGCTGTGGTCCCTAAGGTCCCGACCCCCACGCAGACAGGCCCACAGCAGCCACGGCACTTCCCCTTCCCTCCGCAGGACCCAGAGCACACCAGGCAGCAACACGGGGCTACCCTGCAGAAGCTCATCTTGGACTCCACCCAGCCACGCTCCTGTAGGAACCTAAAAGAACTGGAGGCGTCTATAAGGTTTTGTCATCTAGACGTAGCTGGGGACAGAGAACAGGTAACAGGGCCCAAGGTCCCCAGTGAGGTAGGAGGTGGGATTTGACTCTGGAGGTGGGGTTTAGACACCGGACTAAATCGAGAACCAGCTAACATGGGGATGGGGGTCCAGGATGTGCCCATCAGTGTGCGGTGTCTGTTTACTATTACCATGGAAACATCCAAGCATTACTGCCCCTTTCCATAGCGACGACCCCACGACCCAAAGTTACTGCCCTTTTCCTAGAAATTTCTGCGTAAGCTGCCCCTTAGTCTACATGTAATTAAAAGTGGGTATAAATGTGACGGCAGGCCTGCACTGAGCTGCTCCTCTCTGCCCGGGGGTGGCTCTGCCCTGCAGGAGCAGTCACGGAGCTGTAAAGCTGCTGCTTCAACACACCTGTTTTCTTCCACCCTACCACCTGCTCGCTCTTGAGTTCTCTCCTGGGTAAAGCCACTGCCCTTCGAAGGCTAAGACCTAATTTGAGGCTCACCTGTGCTGCACCACCAGGAAAACCAGGGACCAATGGCGGAGACTCTCTGGGTGCAGCCATCCTCAAGCCTTCACCCTACTCTCCGCCCTCCTGCTCAGGCAGCCTCCCTTGGATGCATCCACAGTCAGCCCCGTCCCCGGAAGCCTGGCCTCCAACCCACATCGGCTTTACCTCCCAACTTGAACATCTGTCATGCTTCCCCCAAAACACCTTGATTTGTTTTTTTTTCCTGAATATGTATCTCTTTTTTTAAATTGCATTTTAGGTTTTGGGGTACATCTAAAGAACATGCAAGATGGTTGCATAGGTACACACGTGGCAGTGTGATTTGCTGCCTTCCTCCCCTTCACCTCTATCTGGCACTTCTCCCCATGCTCTCTCTCCCCAGCTCCCCGCTCCCTGCTGTCCCTCCCCATTCCCCCGACAGACCCCAGTGTGTAGTAGCGGGAGTGCTGGCTTCAGCAGCACATATACTAAAATTGGAATGATAAAGAGATTAGCGTGGCCCCTGGGCAAGGATGACACGCTTGATTTGTTTTCAAGAGAAATTCTGAGCCTACTTGTTAATAAAATGCCCGTTCTGCTTCTTTCCAATCTATAATAAGAGAATGTCTTACATAACTGAAAAGCAACAAGAAACACTGTGCCAGAGGAGGGGCTGAGAGAGGCTGTCCTTACTTGAGAGCCACGGGTGGCTGCGGGGAGGCCCGTGCAAGAGGAGCGGGTATCGCTGTGCAGCCGCAGCTCCAGGGCCCTGCAAGGGCCAACCTGCTTCCATGGAAGTCCCCATCCAGTGGGTGGCGCTCAGCACTGCAGAAGCTCAGACAGTACCCTGATGGAGCGCGGGGCAGGTGTGCTGGCCGCAGAAGGCAATGGTTAAAGCGATCTGTTGGCCACTTCTATCCCTGTTCATCCCACTCGTCCTCCCTCAGACCCTTGGGACCAGTCAAAGGATCCCAGAGGCCTGACTTCCTTTCTGCCCCAGGTTCATGGGGGAAAGCTGATGGATTCGTAGGCTGCGCATCTTTGAGAGCTGTTGCAGTACAGTTTCATTCCCTAGGATTAGGAAGATCTTGGATTCCAATCCACAGGCACTCCCTGAGCCCCTGCTGCCTCCCAGCTCTTGTAAGAACCCTCCCCGAGCACCATCACTCCTGACCCTCAAGATAATGCTATGAGCATCACGTTTCTTATGCCAGAGAGCCTTGCAGGATTGAGGTTCAAGCTGGGTTCACACGGCTGGATACCTGGTGCCCCTCCTGCCACTTCGGACCACCACCTAACACCGAGTGAGCCTGCAGACAATGCGGCATGGTGACAGGCGATGGCCCCGTGCTCCGGGGGGTGGGGACAGAGGGCTAGGGAAGGGGCTGTGAGGTCTTTACATTCACAACCTTAGGTCTTGGGACTGATGAGAACAAATGACTGGGATCACCCAGGTGCTTTCCAGACCCTACAGAAGGAGCGAGAATCTTATTTGGCAGAGACACCCCAAAGAGATGGGAAGAGGTCGGGACAGCACTGACTGAAGGGCAGTCCTATGCAACGGAAGGCTGGCCCTGCGGAGTCCTGCGGCCAGGAACAGGAGTTAGTGTGGGTATCAGGCACTAGGCATGAGAATTTGTCACTGGGAACAAGGATGTGTGGAGACCCTACAAAGCAGCCCGACGTCTTCTACTGTGGAACCCTCTGGCCCAGGGTTATATCCATGTCATCTGGGGGCTCCTAAGTTCCTTTTGTGCAGGGAGGTGAAATGACCCAGAATGAACCCTGAAATCCAAGCAGGTTGGTGTGACCTTCTGAAACCTCTGATGCCAAACTAGCCTGTCCCAGATACACTAGAGCCAGCACACATGCTTTTTACACAGGCCACGTGTCATCTGCTGACAGGACCTGGCCCATCAGTGCACCTGATCCTGCAGCCTGTGTGGCTTAGCTTTCCTTCTCCCTCTGCCCAGAATTCCCTACCCCTCACTGGCCCACCTCTGCTCATGCTTCAGCCTCCTGGCTTCCTCTAGGAAGGTGCCTTGCTGCCTGGCCGAGCTGGGTCTGTGCCTGTATCTCCATGGTATCTGCATCACCGCTTTTAACTGTGTGGTGTTTTGAGGGCCTGATTAGGAGCTATCTCCTCCACCACGCTAAGAGGGCTCACAGCAGCACCCGTGGCAGGAGCTCTGTTCATATTTGATGCATTAACATGTGTCAGTTACAGCAGGGCCCTTTTCTAGGGCCACAAATCCAGGGCATCGCTACCATTTCCATCACCTGAGGATTGAAGGAGATAGAACAGGGGCAAGGGGAGCACAGGACCCGAGTACAGGTGGGGAGGAACTGACTGGCTGCAGAGCAGACAGCTCTGTCTGCACCCACTCTTCGTGCTACTGAGATAACCACAGGAAGACAGAAGCCAACCCAGGGATCTGCCCTGGCTTCTTGGACGCCCACGACTCTGCCTGGGCCATGGAGACGCAGGGCTCAGACAGCGACGCCCCAGCGCTTAGGAGATTGATAGCACAAGGCACCATTACCGACTGTCAGCCGTGCTGTGTCTATTCACTACTAAAAGAACAGTAGTGGCACCTCCCCGCCTATGAGTGTGGCCTGTTGCTGCTCTAGCGGGGCAGGGAGACTAGCAGAAGCCAGCGGGATTTTACCCAGAAGCTAAAGATAAGGAAGAGGTGGTTTTGGGGGAAATTTGTTGACTGAAGAATTCCAACGCTCTACCGGGAGCCAGCTGACTCCACATATTTATTTTTCTATTAAGATGGTTTACTGAAGTATTTGAATTGCAGCAGTCCAGGCATTTTAATTTGCACAGATGTGGCTTGTTGAACTTCGATTTTCTGTGCTGAAGAGCAAACACAAACACATTTAAGTCGCGCACGTTTAAATAAGGCGCAGCGTTGCGTCGGGGGCTTGGTGTGGAGCGTTATCAGGATTTGCCTAATGCGTGTGCACAGAAATGCAAAGTTGCCTTTCACCAGAATCAATCTCGGGTTATGTGAGGTCCAAAGAATGCTTCTAAGCCCCCTGCGGTAGGAGCGAGACCTGGAAGATATGGGCCGCGACACAAAGGCCCCCAGACCACGACGGCGGGGCAGGTTCTGTTAAAGGGAAGGGGGTGGGAGGGAGCTGGCTTGGGAAGGAGGGGGCAGAGCTGGGCTGCTCTTCATGACACAGGGGAGGAGATGGCGTATTCAAAAGGCAGGAGGAGGGGACAGGGCGCGGACCTCAGGGTGGGAGGGGTGTGTCTGGGATGGGGAGGCCCTGATGGGTCTCTGGAGGTCGAAGGAGCTAGCAGGGCTTCCAGGTTCGCAGTGGAGCAGCTGGGGCGCTCTTTCGCCTGCTCTGCCTGCCTCCAAGGTCTCTGGGTGTCTCCCTTGCTCACTAAAGCTAGTATGTGGTGGATCTTTGGGGGGCATTTGAAAAAGACACAAGCTTGGCTGCTGGGACACTGCACAGGTTCCCCGCCGGGGCCCTCGATGTCAGGTTCCTGCTCATTTCCCACCTGCCCAGCCCCTCCGCTCAGCCCCGGCCTTGCCAGGGTCACAGTCTTACCTCCAGCGCGGCTGCAGAGGGAGCTGGCAATGGGCGGCTGGGTCCACAAGTCAGGACCAATGGGCAGCTGGGTCCACAGTCAGGACTGAGTGATTAACCAGAGCCACGTGTGCCCCCAGCAACAAGCAGAACGAAATCACCGGGTTTGGAGAAGAAGGAGTGAGAACCAGGTGGCTAGGAGAGGGGCACACAGCATTGCCATGAGGGGTGACATGACGCCCAGGCAGGGGGAGGGAAGTAGGAACAACAGGGTCAGCATGAGGCTGGCAACACACAGCATTGAAGTCTCGGTTGTGCTTAGGGGCTAGGACATGCCCGAGTTTAGCCAGACAACAGGAGCCCCTCTGGGAGGCAGCCTGGGGCCTTCCCACACCAACACGCTCACATGGACCCAAGTGGGGTGGGGTGGGGGCTGTCTCCTGCCTCGGTTTCCTCATCTGCAAAATGAGATTGTAATTGTGCTCCTAAGAATTACAAGGACTGAGTTATTACGTGCTATGAAGTTAGAAGAACACCCACGCGATGAATAGCCTCAATGCAGAGCAAGAGATTTCAGCTGAGTGGCAATAAATCCCCCCTTCCTCCAGCGCTAACAGCATCGGTGAAAACAAAGGAAACCCTCTAAGTACAAGGGGGACCATCTGCCGAAGGCCAGCCCTGCGCAGGCGCTCCCCACCCGCCCAGGTGAGCACACTGCGGCCGCTCCGGGCCTGGAAGCTTCGCCAAAAGGGCCGCCCCGACCAAAGCCCTCGCTTTCCCAGAGCTGCGCACCAGGTTTCCACGTGGATTTACCCCGCTTCTCTACCCCCACGGAAAAGGCTGGTTTCCTGTCCTGAAAACAGAACTGGGGCCTGAAATGGACACGAAGGTGAACTCAAGGCCAGGAGCCCAGGATGAAGGGAACACCCCCAGACGTTCCTACAGCGTTCCCGGAGCTCTCTGCAGACAGGCCCCTGCCATGGAACACACAATAAATATTTAATTGAATGGAAAAATAAGGATCCCGAGAAAACTGTCTTGGTTAAACTGAGCATGGCCAGTTCCGATTTGCAGACTCCCCAGGGGATCCCGGAATCCGCTCCTCCCTGCTGCGCTTGTAGGTGCTGGACTCTGCTGGCCCTGTGGTCAGAGGCGATACCCCTCCAGGCAGGCCAGGGGACTTCGTGGGACAGGCATGGGAGACTGAGTGCAGGCATTTCACATAGCTGCTGGAAGCCTTGGGCATTTTGATAGATGTCCCCCTATTTCATAGGCAAACGTTCAGTGCCTCTGAAGAAAACCGTCCAATTGCAGCTGTGTGAAGACGGCACTGGCAGACGCCGCTCCGTCCCACGAGGGTTCTGCTCTGCAAAGCTCTGTGCTCACACTGAGGACACCGTGACCAGGGAAAGCCACACCAAAGTTTTAACATTCGGCCCCAAGGCTGAGTGGCAGGAAGCCAAGCTGGGCCCACCCGCCTCACCAGGAGGCCCCCGGTCCTGCTGCTGTGGCCAGGGAGTCCACACTGCACGCATGGGAACTCCAGGTGCCCTCTGACACCTCGATGCAGCTCTGTGAGCCTTGGTTTTCCTCTCTGTGGATGAGGGCATACCTGCTCCCGGGGGGCAGGAGGGGACAGAGGCTCAGCTCTGCAGTGAGACTCCCTGGGTTGCACTCCTGAAAGTCCCTTCCTCTAGATAAGCCTCAGTTTCCTCAGCTGTAAAACGACGTACACAATCTATTTAGTGAGCGCCGCTCCTGCAGTGTGTCAAGTCCTAGAAGCAACTTGTTTCTGATTTAAATGGCCACGTGTATAAATACGAACTGTGGGCTTGCATCCAAGACACAGATCTGTGCTTCACATTTTTCTCAGGGAAAAGTTCTGACCACAGAGACCCTGAACAGGCATGCCATGGACAAGTGTTTATCAGGGTTATTCTGTGGCATGCCATCTTGATTCTAATGTTTTACAAAGGACATTAATTATACAAAAGCATTAAATCAATAATTTGATCCTCAGCAGTAAACAGCATAATAATCAAGAGTACATAGTTTATATAATATATTCTTGATGGTTAAAACATAACAAAAATAGAAAATAAAAAACCGTTGGTTCTAGAAGATTCAGGCGTTGCCAGCTCATCCTAGGAGACCTGTGCTGTCGTCACGCTGTTGCTCCTTTTCTACCTGGCTCTGCCACCTGAGTGCCCTGGAAATGGTACCCCAGGTTCCAGCCTCCACTACCAGTGCTGCTAGGACTGGACCTCAGGAGTTCCCTGGATTCTTTCCTTCTGTTTTCACCGCCCTCACGCCAGGTTAGGCCCTCCTCATTTATGACTCACTCAGGCTGTAACAACCTTCAAAACCATTTCCTGTCTCTCTCCACTCAAGTCCAGTGTGAGACCTGCCAGGCGATTCCCAAAATAACTTCCTGTGTGTCACTCCCTGCCCCAGGCGCCCAGCACCTTCCTTGCTGTGCTCCCTGCTCCCCTGCTCCTGGCTCTCTCTCCTGCACACAAGCCCATCTCACCTCCTGGTTCTCAGGGCATTGAGTTCAGCTGGGACCGTCCCTGCTGCCCTGTTAGAAGCCTTCATCCCTTGGAGCCCAGGGAGTGCCGATCCTCTCCGTGACGTGTTCTTAACTTTACTCCACATTTTGATGTGATTTATTTGCACCCCGCCGTGAGTACCATGCATGCCATGACGTATGACATTCTCTAAGGACGCCTATCTAAATATTTCATCTTCAAAAGGACTGGAGTCTCCTTTGGTTTGAGGCAAATGCACGTTACAAAACAACAGTGCTACCTCGATTGCAGGCATTTTTGTAATTATGTTTATCCATCTTCTATACGCTTACACAGGGGAAAAGAGAAAACAAAGACCAGAATGAGAGATCAAGACGCACGTGAGGCTGGGAGGAAGCCACACAGGCCTCAGGCTCCTGGGCAGCTATTCAGTGCGTCCCGGGAGCAGTCGCCCGGCGGTTGAAATCCTCCCTCTCTCTGGGTTAGTTACAGGACAGGACATCCCGTGTCGGGGGAAGAGAGCGGGAAATGCACAAGCATGCGATCAGATTAAATGACATTCGAGAGGAGGATGTACAGAAGTGGACGACGTGTGGCTTCCCCACCTCCCGCAAGTGTCCCCCTGCAAGATGTGTTGTCTTGGGAAGATGAAGTAAGGGAAGAATGGAAGAGTAAAAGGGGTAAAGTGAGGCAATAGAGTGAGAAGGAAGGAAAGAAGCAGTCAAAAAAGAGTAGCGGCAGCAGACAGAGCTCATCCTCCTACCTCTGCTCAAGCTCTCTACCAACAAAAGGCTCCCCCTACTGAAAAGGTGCCCAAGAAAGAGAGGCTGTGGGGAGGTGTTCTGTAAACTCCGAACCCGGGGCCCAGCGTGTGCAGAGACGGACGATGGAAGCCCAGCCATGGCAGACCCGAGGACAAGACGGAATAACACTGGACAGAGCACGTGCTCTGCGGGCAGGAAACTTTCACAAGCCAAAGTTTAAGGATAAATAGGAACAAAACAAAGTAGAATAAACACGGACAGAAAAAGTGAGAAAATCGAATGCTAAAAAGAATCCTACTCTCAGTTGCATGTTAAGTAAAATATTAAGAAGTGAGGAAAAAAGGTTACAAACGTCATCCGTTATTATGCCAAAATAGTCACCTAACTATCCGGCCTGTCTGGCTTCCAGAGAGGATCAGGAACCATCTTAAAAACAAAACCAAACAGCGCAGCAGGCTCCAAAGTGCTTTTTAACAAGGTAAACAAGGTACTTACTAACAATAGCCCATAGAACTTAGAGAAGGCTTGGCGGAGGAGAGAGAGCATGTTGCCTAAGTTGGAAATGAGGACGATTTTGGCCGGGGAGCCGAACTGTCTTTCTCTTCAAGCGTGGAGAATCTCACTCCTCCATGTTCAGGAGAGCAAACCTCCACGGGAGTGTGCAAACATTCAGGCTAACTGTCACTTGGGATCATCCGAAACTCAGAACAGGGCAAGAGGCAGTTGATTGTGGCAAGGATATGACAATGTCACTTTTAGTAACTGACTCAGTCCAACACCTCGGGGTCAAGTGCTTAATATAGGGCTCCTCTTTCCGTTGGGTGGCAAGTTTAGCGAAACTGACCACCTGTTCCCTTGCAAATCTGCCTGTCTCCAGCCCAAATCAGAAGGCGAGCCTGGCACGGCCCCTCGGAGGAGGTGCTGCGGCGATTGGATTTCACCTCCCACCAGTGCCTGTGAAATCCAGATAGATGTGTTCTGGGACCCTCTCCTCTCCTGAGAAGACTGCAGATCAAGCTGCTAAACAAGCGGAAGTGATTCTTGTTGTTTTAAACATCCTTAGTTGTGTGTGTATTCTGGAGACTATTTTTATAAGTTTAAAGCTCTGCTTTCCTTGCACATCCGCAGGGCCTCTACTAAAGAAATGGAAGACAGGAGCGTCTGAGCCTTGCACTCAGGCTCCTGCGGCTCCATCCAACGCCCCAGGAGGACTCCCTGCTCTGTCTTTGTGAACTGATCCAAGTCTGATTACTCGGGATCTCTCACCCAGTCTGTGGCCGGGGAGATCTAAAGTACACTCAAGTTGTTTATTAAACGTCTGCAGCAGTTTTGTGGATGCAGTTTTTAGAAAGGCTGCACCTCTAAAATTCCACACACACCTAATGTAACATGACGTTTGCAACCTGTGAATACAGCCTGCCCGTCAATTTCAAACTCCAGGCATGTCCACTAGGTTTCTGTTCTGGGCTTTTCCAAACAATGGCTTAATCGGAGTCAGCAATTTGAGGGAGAAAGCCCATGAAAATAAGCAATTCATGAAAAACCAGTTCCACTCACCGTGCTTAGACACACCCCTTAGACACAGGTCACTCCTGTGGTTTGCCAGTGAGGGCTGGAACCTCACCTCTTCCTTAGACACCTCTGTCCTCTACCTTAGAGAAGTTCCTCTCTCCCTCAACTATGATTCTCACCACTCTGTGAAATGACAGAATTGATCAAATGTCTGTTGTGCATTGTCTGACACTGCGGCTCATCAGGAATTTATGAGTCATTTTGACAAGAGGATAGTGAACCAGTTTATGACTGGGGCTCACTGCCCGAATATCTCCTAAGGGCTGGATGTCCACACGCCTTCTTCCTCCCACACACGGAGGTTATTTGCCATGCGGATGCCCAGAGACTCAAGATGGAAATTCACTTGGCAGACCATTTGACCGTCGTGGGAACCGGCTTGCACTGCTCATCCTTTAGGGGAACTTGCTGGGAACATCCCACATTGTTTGGAAGACTTGGTAATCTGTTTCTGTCCACCCTTTCTCCACTCACAGTCTTCCAATACAATAAAATCACTACCCCAATGGCTCTTGATTCCTTAACTAGTTACATTGTGGAGAGATTTCTAGTAACGTCCAGGATAAAAAAAAATGTCTGAAACTGCCAAGAACAAAGCCGAGCCCCAGAAGAGTTTGTCCAATACTTTCTGAGGCCCTGACCATGCGGAACTGGGTGGGGGCACTGCCCTCTGAAGTCGCAGTCACAGAATCCAGGAAGCGGATGCGAACCTCTCCCTACGTGGTGAGAATGCTTTACCTTCCCGTAGCTTTAAGTATCACCGGCATTCTGCTGGAGCAATTCTGTCTCTAGCTGAAATCTATTGTTGGTGGGAACCATGCCACAGAGCGTGATGATCTGAGCGGCCTGATGCGTGACTGTGAACTCACTTACTACGTCTTTCCATGTTGATAGAGAAAGGAGGTCGTTCATTCACTTCAGAAGTAGTGAGTGAGCATGCCTGCCGTCCCGTCACCTAATGTGTTTTCCACTCCTCCCAGCTGGGCTTTAGATGCCGGTGTGATGCATGTGCTGTTTGCTTACAGAATTCTGCTTGTAGCATCCGTTTAGTCAATAAGTAGATATTAATCACTTAGGCTGTGGGACCAGCTCTGGAAACACAGTGAAGGAAGAGAGATGCTGTCCTGGCCACCAAGGAGCTAACACTCTGGTGTAGAAAATGTCACTAAGCAAATACCGACATTGGCAAATCTCTGCATACGGTCGATACGGCTGCGTGCAGTGCGTTGCTATTGGAAGGGAAGGCAGGAAGACTTGAGCCCAGCCTGGAGAGACAGGAACGTCCTCTCTGAGAAAAGGTCGCTTACACTGAAACTCAAAAGGTGAGTCCAGCTTCTCCAGGCAAAGAGAAGTAAGCAGAGCAGCCCACACGAAGAATACCCAATGGCAAAACAAACACAGCACAAATGGAACCTCCCCGAGAATCAACCCGGAGCCAGAGACAACCCAGAGCGTGCTGTCATTGAGGGACCCACAAAGATCCATGTGGCCAGAACTGGCCAGAAAATGGGGTAAGCCCTTGTTAAAAATGTTGGGTTTTATCCTAAGTGCAATGGGGGTCTTGCAGGGTTTTAATTAAAAGAATGTACTTTTCTGATTGTGTCTTTTAGACCGGGGTCCCTATCCCCCAGGCCTGACTGGTACAGGTCCGTGGCTTGTTAGGAACCAGGCCACATAGCAGAAGGTGAGTAGTTGACAAGCGGGAGCGACCTCTCCAGCCTGAGCTCCGTCCACCTCCTGTCAGATCAGCAGCAGCGTTAGATTCTCATAGGAGCGTGAGCTCTATGGTGAACTGCACATGTGAGGAATCTGGGTTGCACACTCCCTGTGAGAATCTGATGCCTGATGATCTGAGGTGGAACAGCTTTGTCACCAAGCCATTTCCCCTCCCTTCACTCCCCCCTCTTCCATGGAAACACTCTCTTCCATGAAACTGGTCCCTGGTGTCAAAAAGGTTGGGGACAGTCTTTTTAGACTTCACAGCAACTGACTCTGATATGGGGAAGAGCCGAGTGGGACCAGCAGCAAAGAGGCTCCAGAGGCTCTCCAGGAAACAGCAGGATGTCCCTAGCACTTAGGCCGTGGGGGGAAGCAGCCCCACGTGAGATCAAGGTCGGGGGGAAGCAGCCCCACGTGAGGTCTGGGTGGGGGTAAGCAGCCCCACGTGAAATCTGGGTGGGGGGGAAGCAGCCCCACGTGAGATCTGGGTGGGGGGAAAGCAGCCCCACGTGAAATCTGGGTGGGGGGAAGCAGCCCCATGTGAGGTCTAGGTGAGGGGGGGAAGCAGCCCCACGTGAGATCTAGGAGCAGGGGAAGCAGCCCCATGTGAGGTTTGGGTGAGGAGGGGAAGCAGCCCCACGTGAGATCTGGGTGGTGGTCCATCAGCTGGGTGGGGACTGCCTCAGTACAGGGGTGATCAGAAATGAGAGATGGGAGATGCTCATTGGAAACCTGAATAGGTAGATGGAAATGCTTCATTTCTATTCAGATTATTTCTCCAAGTTTATCTCTATCCCAGACTTACCTTCGGAGTTTCAGACTAATATATCCACTCTCTGGTAGAAACGTTTATTTTGATATTCCCCAGGAAACTCAGGGAACATGTCCACAACTCAAATCATTGCCCCTGAACCATCCATTAAAACATTTCCTGCAACATTTTTCCTTCACCTGGCAAATGCTCATCAGCTGAAACAGTCCATTTTCTGCGTCATTTTTCAGTGCTGCCGGCTGCCCCGATACTGGTCAGATGTTATTCTGAATGTGTCGATGAGGGTGTTCTGGGACCGGACGGAGGTATAAGTCGGCGAATGGAGTCAAGCAGATGCCCTCTCCAGTGTGGGTGGGCCTCACCCAATCAGTCAAAGCCCAGAACAGAACAGAAAAGCCAAGAGGGACCCTTTCCTGCCGGGCTGCCTTGAGCTGGGTCAGCAGTCTTTTTCTGCCTTTGGACTCAACTGGAAACACCAGCTCTTCCTGGGTTTTGAGCCTTCCAGCTTTCAAACTATACCAGAGCTCTCCTGGTTTTCAGGCTTTTGGACTCAGACTAGAACTTCCACCGTGGGCCCTCCTGGGACTTCAGCCTGCCAACCGCACAGATCTTTGGACTTGTCTGCCTCCAGAGTTGTATGAACCAATTCCTTATAGAATCTCTGTGTGTTTGTGTGATGTATGTGTGTACGCATACGTGTGTGTATGGATACATATACAGAGATGCACATCTTATTGGTTTTGTTTCTCTGGCGAACCCTGACTAACACACCAGCTAAAGAGGAAATAATATTGTCTAGGGAGAAGGAAGAGTTAATAAAAAAGACTCATATAAGCTATCAGGTATCTCCACATTGGAAATAAACCACAGTGCAACCCAGGAAATAGAAATGAGAGAAGAAGTTGACCACAGATCGAGTAGGCTGGAACTATGGCAGAACTCCCCGGGGCACACGGCCACCCGGCTGGGGACGGAGACCACATTTCCCAGCTCCCATGCTGCCAAGAGCAGCCATGGGCTATGTTCAGATCAATGGTGTATGAGGAAATTGACAAGCTCCCAGGGAATCTCCATAAAGATGAAGCCACCATCCTAGACTTCTTCCTTTTCTGTTTTCTGAAGGCTGAAAACCCACTTTGAAAGTGACCCAGTTTTAACTCTGCAAACAAGAACCACACCCTAAAAGACAGTGGAGGAAGAAGATGAGGGAACCCCAGTCGCTGGATGGCCTGGTAGAGCAGAGACTCCATGCCAGCCTGGACTGTCCAGCTCTGGGCCAGATTCTGGGAGGGAGGCTAATATCTCTCCTGTTTAAGTCCCAATATTCTGAAGTGTCTTTGCTCCAGCGTTTGGCTTGTACTGAACTGAAACAGATACGGAAACACACAAACAGCAACACAGGCAGATGGCCGCTCCCTCAGCTACAACAGAAGTCTGCCCGCTCTGCTGTCTCCTGTTGCCCCAGAGAACGGGCCAGGAGCTGGCACGAGGAGGACTCAGCAACTATGTGTGGAATGAATGGATAGTGGAAGAAATGCAGACTGGCACTGGAAGGACAGTGAGGACATGGGAAGAGAGTCTGTGGTTACATCTCTTTACAAGAACCTGCTGTACAGAGAAGGGAGTAACTAAGGAACTAGGGTCTGGGTGCCGTGCAATGCGCATGTGTGTACATGGGTGACGTAGGAAATGCTGGGGCATATTTCCACAAAAATAAAAAGAATCCAACCAGAGAGAGGAGTGCGACACAAAACAGAGTGTTGTAAATGTCCTGAGTTGTGTAGCAGGTGAGGCACTTTGTCACATCACCGGAAGGGAAGAAGAAGAGGATGGGTGGCTGTACGGAAAACCTGTTGGGTCACAGGTAGGAATTTTAGGATGTATCTAAGTGATGACTCTTAAAAAAATTCTGTCTAGTGGGAAGCAAGGTCAATTCCTGGAGAGAATGCTGGCCAGTGGAAGTCAGGCTGAGGTCAACGGAGAAGGTTGAAAACAGTCATCGTGGAGAGAGTCAAGTGAGTATAGGGCTATGGTCAGAATAAAGAGAACTTCTCAGAGGCTGATGACGTTGGGCATCATGCGTTTTTATAGTATTAATCTTCCCAGTGTGTGTCTTTCTCAGGAATTGTCAGGGTCTAGACAGACACGAAGAACAGGAAATGCTCGGCTTCTTCTGGGGCTGTGATTTTCCCCGATGATAAAAATTAAAAGGCTGAAGGGCAACTTCCATTGAACATTGCAGTAAAGTAGTTACTGACTGTTGGAGAGGGAAGAAACTGCTGACAGGAAGGCTGGTGGACGTGGTGGTGAACTCATCAGAGGGTGGGAGGTTCAGGACAGGTACCTGCGCTGTGGCTTCTCAACCAACCTGGTGGGAGGACAGGAAATGGAGGCAACACAATGTGCTCAATGACTTTGTCAATGACAAGTGATCAAGTTTCCAGGATGTAGGAAGTAGAAAAGTGCCTCTTCAAAGTTTCCTTTCTTGTTAAAGAATAATCGTAAGTGTTAGAAATAATAGTTTGTTCTAAATACTTTCTTCAAAGCCTTTTTGCTTTTTGTTAAGCCGTATCCTATGTAGCTGTTGGACACACTTACAGGCACGTAATGCATTCTGTGTTCTTGTACTTTAACCAAGATACTTGTGCTGGATGTGCTCACAGGCATGTCCCAGATCGCAGCCTCTGCCCCTTCCTTATTTAGCCCTCCTTTTCGTTCTCCATTGCTTTTACCTGTTTAGAAAAGTTTGAAGTTGTTAGCCAATTAGGTTTTAGTTTAGATTGTGAGGTCTGGCTCCAACCAACAGAGATCTGACACAGCAGTAAGGACGACCCCAAATGCGTAAAGGATAAATACATCAGCTTTCCCTCTGTTCACTGCACTCACATAGCAAGATGGGTGAGGAAACTCTTTCTGCAAGGAGTAAAGATTGCCTTGCTGAGAGATCCTTTGTCCCAATGATGACTTTTCCTTGCAGCACTGAAAATTTACATGTAACACAGGATGACAAAGTTTAGAATAGATGGCTAATTTGGAGGAGAAAAGAAAAACATCACTACAGATGAGAAGGCAGCAGAATGGAGAGATCAGGTGGTCAGCTGTGATTTTCAGGCGGATGTGGAAGACACCTAGTGGGTAGCAGGCGTGGTGATGGTGAGGAAGACTGGCGTGGATTTCAACAACCCCACTGAGTGCCATAGTAACACAGATGGAGTAGGTGACTCCTAAGAGTAGAGCACAGGTGGTATTGTCAGATTGCATGAGATTTAAAGAAGGAAATTTTTGTCCAGCTAATAGAAAGGCTGTGGTCAGAAAGCTCCCTGAAGAGCAAGGATGACATCGACCAAGCACGTGGCACTCAGGTCTCGGGGCAAAAAGAGAGCAAATTGAGAGGATCCACTTGAGAGGATCACAGAGGAAGTGGGTTCTCAGGTGCCATCAGATTCCAGTTAAGGAAAGCAGGAGGAATCTGGAGAGAAGACTTCAAGGGAAGGGCTGACCAGAGAGGAGGGATGGCCAGCAGGCCAGTGCTTGGGACTGGAGAGACAGGCGGTGAATGTGTGGAAGGAGGTTGTCCCTTGAGTGGTGGCCAGGACAAAAGGGGAGCCCAGCTTGGTGGACTTCGCTCTGCTTGTCTTGCAGGAGAGTGCCAGGCCAGGGACGCTCTTCCTTGGGTTGATAAATGAGTCAGATGGCTGGGACTCCATCTTCTATCCCTGAGTAACTAGTTGATAAAGACACCCTAGTGTATTTTCCTGAACAGACTGTTGATGTTAACAAGGTCAGTCTGATACGGCTGATTCTTTATCACTCCATCATTGTTTCTTTTGTAGACACACATCAGCTGTCGTTTTAACCAATTCTTGCTGAAAATGGACTATTACCATTTCAGAATGGTAAGACTATCAAGCCTGTGCTTTTGGGATGTGCAGAAGGTACTGAATTCTGGCTTTTCAAACTGGAGCTTCATTCGGCCGTCTACAGTCTTCTGACATTTTTGCAGTCTGCAAAGTCATAGATTAAAATACACAACTAATCAGTAAGGAGACTTGCCTGAGGCCAGGGGACCGGAACCATAGGGAGAGCAAAGGAGACGTTTCACGTTTATAGGTTCTGCTTTCTCTTTATGATTTTTGCACTGTGTGTTCCCAAAACAGGAATGCTGGGAAGCCTGGAATAGGTTTTCTGAGTCCTGGCTCTGCCACGTGCTAGCTCTGTGACCGTGAGAAGCCCATGAGGACCCCAGAGCTGTCATTTCTTCATCTTGTGAGTGGAAGTCCTGTCGATGCTTACCTTACAGGTTGCTATGGCTATTCAGATGTGAGTTGTACGTGAAACACTGCACATGTCCATGTTTACACGAGGCACTAAATCATTACTGATATTTTATTGTTCAAGGTATAATGTAAGATGACATCTATATTAACCTTAACATTTAAACATGTCTTTTACCTAAATTGGGGCTGATGATTTCTGATGCTATAGTTAGATGCTCTTCCCTTTCACCCTGGGGTTTGCTTTTCACCTTTTCATGTATCCTTTTCAAGACCATCCCTAGGAATCTGCTGGTATGATTATATTGGGTTTGTTAGAAAGTAACGTCTCCATTTTCCTTTTCATTAGGACTGCATAAAGTAGCATCGTCTGAAGTGTGTGCTAAGAACGTCCCTAACCCCTTGTGTGATATTTCTCCTTCTGAGCCTTGTGCTTGGTGATTCCTGCTTTATAAAACCCATTTCCCTGAAAGCCTGGCACACGTTGAACTCCACGTCCCCCTCTCCCTTGACGTGATTGTTTCCTTCAACTCTTCGTCTGCTTCCTCCTGGCAATACACCTCTCCAATTTCCTTTCTTAGGGGCTTCCACTCCAGGGTTCAAGGGTTTTCCTGCAACTGCACGCCTTCTTTTAGAGAAGGGGGCAGGTGTGCACACAGCATAATTGGTTCCAATTCTCCAATATATCTGTCCCTTTTGAATTGAGCTAAATCAGTCATTTTTTTAGCCATAATGTTCATCTACCGACAATACAGGTAAAGTCGTGTTTATCACCTGTTATAATTTTATCACCTGCAGAATGCTCATTCATATATGGATGCCCATGGCTACACGTATTGATTAAAACTCCCTTCCCAATTATGTCACTATGGGAACAGCTAGACACATTTCAAATGTTAATTACCTTTTGTTACACCTGAGTCACATTAGCGATAACCTTCTGCATGGGAGGGGTACTCGCTTTGTTTGGATTGGAATTCTGTCTCGTACACAGGGTTCCATTAACATTAGCTGAGACTATTTCTTAATTCAAAGAATATTCATATTCTCTTCATTATCAAGCCTAGAACGTGATTTTTCTCAGGTTGCCACATTAATCGGAGAGAGACGCCGGGTAGTTTATAATCAAAACTAAGGCAGCTCAACAGCAGGTTACATCTAAGAGGCTGACACAGGAGAGATGTCTTTTCTTTCTTAGTCTGTGTCATTAAAAAGATCTTTTTTTCTTTTGAAGTCTTCCTCTTGGTTGCTCCACATTTCTTCACAGAAAGAATATGAAGGAAATGAAGTGATACATGGCATGTGAAATCAAAGCAGCAGGATTTTGTTTAGAAGAATGCACAGCTGCATTGACTGCAATTACAGTTCAGAAAAGCTGCAGCTGCCAATTTCTTTTCTGCAATTCAATTCACCTTATATGTACCTTTCTACTTTAAGGGATTTTTTTTCCACTCAAGGAAAAAACAAAAGGAGAATGGAAGAAATTATAGAGCTATGGAATGGGACTTACAAAGAAACAGAATAGTGTGCCTGCTTTTCTCAGGTAGCATATTTTATGGACAATTTCAATTCTTCCAGCTGCTGTCTTCAGAAGAGCTTAAATATAATTCTGGATATTATTTCATTTTACAAGAAGATATTGGCTCACCCTTCTCAGAGAGCTGAGGAGCTGGAACTTGACTTTGTATAACCGAGGTAAGAGTTACATCTGGAAAAGAACAATTCTCCCCCTGAATTAGGACAAGCTCAACTATATCCTAAATCACAGTGATTTTAAGTACTACTCATGCTTGTAAGAGATTTTAAAATAGAACAGCAATCTGTGAGGTGTTCACAGCGTACAGTACGTAGCCAAGGTGATCCAAGGTCAGTGTCTGCTCCTAGATGCACCTGCAGGGAGTTAGCAGTCGCCACCCACACGCCTGGCCCAACAAGAGCTGACCAGGCATGGGCATGCTACTGACGAAATGCAGCTGGTTTGCTGCAGGGCATCTGTTTTCTAAAACACATTTGTCACTGACAGACCTAGCGACTGAGTAGGTGTGAATATGATATGAAAGTTGCATTGGCCATAAGCCAATTTATCTGATGCTCTAACGTTTTAAGTCTCCATGTAATAGCAGGTTTGTGCTGTAACATAAAGAACTGTGGCACAGGTGGGCACAGCAAGACACCGAGAACACACTTGCATGTCCACTGGCCCCATGTGTCTTCTGCTGGTCCTGTCTGGCAGTGTGTTTGGCTTTGAAAGTGTCCAGGATCTGGATCTTCATGCAAAAGAAACAAGCACAGGATGGTGACCTGGCATCACTGCGTTTTTGCAAAGCCTGCAACTGCCCCATGTCTGCTCTGGGCTCCGAGGCTCAGTCCTCTGATCTTTCTTTACCTGTCCTGTCCCTAGCTGCCTTCCTCTTTTTCCTTATTAAAGTTCTGTACGTACTGCAGCATATTCCATTTATTGGGAATTGAATGTATTTCTTCTATGCCAGGATTCAAAGTTGGGATTGTTATTATTGTAGTTTGTGCTCTGGTTACAGAGTTTCTAAGGTTTGGCTGTTCTGTCCCAGCACCGTATTTTCTCCAGCCTTGCTGTCTGCAGTGGGCAATTTTGGACAATGCAATTTTCTCAGGCACTTTCTTCTGAGCTCCAGGTCTCCGCATCCAACATCCACTCAACATTTTATTGTGAGATCTTCACCTCAAACATGTCAGAATTGACATATCAACACGTCAATACCTCCTGCAGGATTTCCTAACTCCACAGATGGTATCCGTCTAATTGTGCAAGCCAAGAGCAAGGCGCCAGCTGGGATGTTTCCTGTACCCAATCTATCATCTATGTCCAGTTAATTTTACAGTAGTGTTTCTCTACTGTGTCCATTTCTCTTTGTCTCTGCTGCCACCTTCATCTCATACCTGGATCACTGCAGCAGCCTCCTCCCTGGCCACAGTAGCCTATGAAACACTAATCTGAGCAGCTCACCACCTTCTGCACAAACCCTTAGGAAACTAGAAGAAAGCTCCCTCGACCTGGTAAAGGCTATATTACAAAACATCCAGTAAACAACACACTCAATGGAGAAACCTTGAAACCAGGAGCAAAGATGCCCATTGATATCACAGCTGCTTAGCGTGGTACTAAATGTTCTTACAGACAAAAAAGAAGAAGGAAAGAGTCAGAAAACAAAAGGAATTAGTGTATAAGATTTGGAAGGAAGATAAAAAAGTCCTTATTGGCGGATGGGCAGATGACACAATCCTATACAGAGATACTCCAACCGAAGAGACACTATTCAAGCTAATGAGAGTTCAGTGATGTTGCTAGATTTAAAGTCAGCTCATTCTCTTTACCTACCGAAGCAGACTGAATGTTGTGTCCCCCCAGTTCTTATGTTGAAATCTAATCCCAAGTGTGATGGTATTTGGAGGGGGTTCTCGGAGGTGATTAGGTCATGAGAGCAAAGCCCTCATGAATGGGATTATGAAAGAGACCCCAGAGAGACCCCTCACCCCTCCTACAACGTGAGGACTTGGCAAGAAGACACCTTCTATGAACCAGAGAGCCAGTGTTCACCAGACATTGGATCTGAACGCCCCTTGCTCTTGCATTTGCAGGCTCCTGAACTGTGAAAACACATGTCTGTTGTTTAGAAGCCACTCTGCTTATGGCTTTCATTACAGCATCCCAAATGGACTAACACACCTGCAATAACCAATTCCAATTTTCATAAAACTGACATGGTGAAATTTTGTCAAATACCTCTCTGTACGAATTGGGGGACTACATGGCTCACGTTATCAACAAGAGAAAATAGGCAGCCCAAACCCAAGAAACAGTCAAGTAATAGAAACAGTTCAGAGCGAGAGAAAATTAAATGACTGGCAAGTATGTGAAGAGTTCCTCAACTCAGTAAATGTAACGAGAAGAAATAGAATGAGGAGATGCCACTTCCAACCATCATATTTATAAAATGTAAAAGGCACCATAGAACCAAGAGTTGATGAGCGTGGGAAGATACGGGGCCTCCTACCGTGACTGCATGGAGAACACTCGTCATGAAGGTGAAGGATGAGTATCATCGGTGGTCTTTCCATCCCATACTGCACAGCGTGGAGACCCCAGACCCCCACCCCCGACGACTGGATGAGCACCCAGGTAAGGGGACAGCTACTTAGGCCGGCTTTATGCACAGTACCCAGGGGGAAGTACAGCCCCATGCCTACTGTTTGTGCAATTGAAATATCACCCGGTTACTGAGTGTCTTAAAGGATACATTCACATCTAAGAACACAGAGGGTGGGAGCAGGAGGAAAAGTCAAACAGCGTTAAACCGGAAGAGTCTGGTTTTGAGCAGTCGCGCTGGGGTTCCTTGAATACTAGTAACAAAACTCTGCACAGGAAGCTTTTGAAAAAGGTTAAAAGAGTAAAGGGTGATCTTCAGATTTATTGGTGGAAGAGTGACAGCCACTGAAATGGGAAAGTTCAATTTCGGAGTGAATATTACTCAGAACAGACCAAAGTCCAACATCCCTATAACTGGTGCTCAGGAAGAAGAAAGCTTGAGAGTCAAGGCTGATCAGAGAAGAGAGTGCACTTGGATTTGACACAGAAAAAGCCCAACTCTCAAAACGCTGAGCCACACCAAAGAGACTGCTTTACCTGGATGTTGGGAAGATTTAGGATGTTAAAAATAAGTTCAGTATAAATAAAAACTCTTTCTCCCCTGCAGCTTGCATTCCTCCTGCCTTGGGAGGCTGGCAAAAGCTAAGACTGTAGAAGACATTCTGAGGCCCTGAGGAGGTACGTACGTGCCTGCTGAGCGTTCCTGTCACCAGTCAGTGCACTCTGCTAAACAAGCCTTCACCAGCAGGTCTTTTCTTTCTTTCTTTTTTTTTTTTTGAGATGGAGTTTCACTCTTGTTACCCAGGCTGGGGTGCAATGGCACAATCTCGGCTCACCGCAACCTCCGCCTCCTGGGTTCAGGCAATTCTCCTGCCTCAGCCTCCCGAGTAGCTGGGATTACAGGCATGCGCCACCATGCCCAGCTAATTTTTTGTATTTTTAGTAGAGACGGGGTTTCACCATGTTGACCAGGATGGTCTCGATCTCTTGACCTCGTGATCCACCTGCCTTGGGCTCCCAAAGCGCTGGGATTACAGGCGTGAGCCACCGCGCCCGGCCCACCAGCAGGCCTTTCTTTACTAGCACTATTTACGGTTACAGTAAGTCACTTCCTCCGAAGTTTTATCACAATGGCTTCCTTCTCATACAACTGAACTTGCTCGCTTTCAAGTGTAATTATGTTTTTGAAATACATACTTCCGAAGTGAAGTCTCTGCCATTAATTTTCATGGGCAATACATGATAAAGTACATGCATGGTACCACAAATTGCAATTTATTAAGTTCTGTGGAGTAAGTGGAGCCAGTCACATAGACAGCTGGAGAAATGAGAAACAGAGCTGACATGGAGTGACATTCAAAGTAGAGAAACAAGGAAGAGGCGTGAGCCAGAGGCGGTGAGCCTGCAGTGGGGTTCCATACACATTCCCCCCAGCCAGGTACCATCGACTTGTTTCAGCATGCCCCTTATCTGGGCTATGCCCCAAAGTTCATCTCACCCCTGCTTCCCTCACCAGTTGTCCTAAAGATGTAACAAGATTACGAATGTTGGTGCTCATTAAGCTGGACACATGTGGCAAATCATTACTTTTATTAACAGAGGAATAAGAACAGTCCCAGAAGACAGAAATAAAGACACAACATATCCTTAAAAATAAACATAGGGGCTGGGTGAGGTGGCCCACACCTGCCATCCCCACACTTGGGGCAGCCGGGGCAGGAGGACTGCTGATGCTCAGACACTGGAGGCCAACCTGTGCCACATAGTGAGACCACATAAAAAAATAAACATGACCGAAAAGAAAAACTATCTGATGGCTTCATTTTATCAGAACCTCAAATCACAGTTATTCTTCACATCATCTTTTTTCTTCATGAAAGTCGGAATCTCAAAGGAAATTGGTCAAGATCCTGATGTGCAGGTGGGTTAAGAGGATCAGTAAATGTGAAATAACAAAATACAAAGAAGAAAAGGACAACACTGAGTCCCGGCACATTTCTCAGTTGCTCCTATTTCTTCTTTCTGGCCCAGACATCTCCTGGGTTTACAGGTGCATAAAGGTCCCTTCTCGTCACCAGGACAGCTTAACTACCATCAACAAGTATTTTTCAAATAAACACTTCAGTTTCTGCGTCTGAAGTGTTTGTTTGACTCCTCGCAACTGAGAACAGATTAGGGGTTGACAAGGTCCTATTGTGGGCAGAACAACTGTGACTTTCTAGATGGAAGAACGTCTTTAAAACTTTTAATTGAAAGTTTTAAAAATGCAGAAAAAAAGAGGGTTTCAGTTTTCACGTATGCCATATTCTAGTATCGAACCGGAATCTTCACTCCAAAATACTGTTCAAAATCCTGATGGAGTAAGAATTAAGTTCATGCAGCTTAAGTTGAATCCTGTGTACTTCTCCAATGATCACACGATGTCTTTTTTCCCTGTCCTTACCAATCTCAAGGTTTACCATTGTAAATATATGTGTATGTCAATTAGGAAAGATACAGTGAAATCCCTTAACATCTGAAAGGTTCCATTCAATTTTGCTCTTCCTGTTAAAACTTATTTAAAATCTGAAGTATTCAAAGTAACACTGGAGTCGTAAACTCTACGGCCTGCGGTGGCACTTAACCCGTCACATCTGACAGAGCATCCTCAGACACTGCTCTCAGCACCCAAGTCCTCCTAGCACAACGGGCTTTGTTCTGTACTCTTCAGTATATTTTTTGTAAAATAATATGTACATATGCATGCATAAGTGTGTGTGTGTGTGTATGTGTGTGAGTGTGTGTGTGTGGTTTGTGGGTGTGTATGGTATGTGTCATATGAGTGTATGTGTGTGGTGTGTGTGTGTGTTTGTATGGTGTGTCTGTGTCATCAAATACTGTATCTTTTGATTACATCCTGGAGGTGCATGTGTTATGCATCCTTCTTCTCTTCTAGGAATATGGAGTAGGCATGTATTTCCCTATTCCTCCCACTAAGTACAACTGAAAACCCTGGACACTTCACAGAGGATGACTGTGACAGACAGAGAGAAGGAGGCAGGATGGCTAAGGACCTCAGGACTTGAGGAACGACATGGTGGAGAATTTTCTGGGTTTTCCTCTTCCTCATGCGTACTAGACCTGGAACCGAAGAAATCAGCAACCCAGAAATTCCAGCAGGCACAGACAAAATAAGTCCCAACAAAAGCCTGCTTTCTCTAGCCACAGGACCAGGGAAGGGACAGAAAACTCTTAGACGATAACTGCTCTACTTCGGCCAAACAATGCAGAAAAACCTCGGCCCCACCTTCGCCCATGCCAGTAAAGGCTGTGTGGGTGGCCTAGAATTCCACCCTCATTAGTCTGTAAGGAGGTGCCCCAACTTCCCCACAGGGGTGCTGTCCACTTCCAAGTGGACAGTGCGGACTCTGACCACTGCCCAGGGTAACTGGCCATAGTTCTGCTTGGGATTAGTGGAGGCCACACGGCGAGTGGGAGCCTCCACCCCCAGCAAGCAGGAAGAGCCTCACAACTTTCTTCATTGCAGTAATAGGGGGCCCCCCACTTCCTAGGTTGGAGTCATGTGAGTCCCAGTCTGTTAAAACAGAAAGCTTACGTAAGGTCCAGAGTCTCATAACATAGTGCCCCAAAAGTCTAACTTTCAATTAAAAAAAAATCACTAGTTGCTCAAAGAACCCGGAAGATCTCAAACAGAAAAGAAAAAATAAACCAAACCAAGATGACAGAAATGTTAGATTTATCTGACAAAGATTTCAAAGCAGCCATGATAAAAATGCTTCAACAAGCAACCACAGACCAGCCTGAAACCAATGAAGAAACAGAGCCTCTGCTGAAAAATGGGACATATACAGAAGAACCAAATGGAAGTTTTAAAAGTGAAAAACACAAAACCAAAATGAAAAGTTCACAGGCAGGCCTTAATAGCTGAGTAGAGGAAACAGGAAGGCAAGCATGAAATGCAGGATGCAACAACAGACACGCTCACCTCAAAACCCAGAGGAAGAAGAGCCACATAAACCCAAAGCAAGTGGAAGAAAGGACATAAATAAATAAAAGGAAATGGAGAGGGAGGGAGAGAGAGAGAGAGAGAGAGAGAGAGGGAGCAGAAATCCATAAAACTGAAAACAGAAACAATGGAAAACACCCATGAAACAGTGAGCTGATTTAAAAAGATAAGACTAATAAAATTGACAAATCTCTGGCAAGACTGACTGAAAGAGAGAGAGAAGGGAGACACAAGTTCATAAATTACCAGTATCAGGAATGAAACAGAGAATCACTACAGATCCCACAGACTTTGCAAGGATAATAAGGGCGCTATGAATGCCTCTACACACAGATTCAACAGATCGGATGAAATGGACATAGGGATGCATACCCTGCAGGTGGAGCCTGCCCAGGAGTAGCTGGACCTGGGTAAGAGGTACACACAGCTTTCAGAAAGAGGCTCAGGGTCACTGGGGGAGGAAATTCTGGCATCCCAGGTGTCTGGAGAATGTTCTTGGAGGGATGGGTGCAAACTGTGGACAGGCACATCACCTGATTTTCACAGACTCTCATCCTGTGGTGAGGGCAAGGCCAGGGAAGGCAGAAGGAGCTCTTAAATGCTCAGGGTCAGGGTAGGACCCCTCTGGTCCAGCTCTAAACACTGTGCTGAGTACAGATGGTGTTTTTCTTGCCATTGCCAATGAGGTAACACTCACCAATACAGAGGATGACTAAAGATCTGGAGCCAAGAGTCAACAGCCTTCAGGAAGGCTTAGCAGGCTTTGCAGCTATTCCTTTCACTATCTAACAAGTATTTGTGAGGGTTCTTGCTATATAACTCAGCATCTGAGCCATGCATGCAGTGTGGGGTTAGAAAGAGACACACGGACGGGCTGTGGCAGCCCAGGGAGAGTGACATGCACGTGCAGAATGGGTGTCCCACTGAGACCCACAGGTGGGCTGTGTCCCTCAATGTCTGGAACACACCCTGAGCTCACAGAGTTCTGCCTTCCCAGTGCCCGTTCTAGATGCTGCCACACAGCACCCGAGAAGCTGCTGAAATGCAGGATCTACCGGAGCTTCCGCTTCCTTAGCGCTACCTGCTCAACACTGCCCGTGCCTCGCGCCTCGCTCCTCTCTGCCTTGAACGGGAGCATGGGGAGAGCACTCCACGAGAAAACTCTGGGTTCCTGACAGCTTCGCTAGAAATGAAGCCAAAAAGTGCAGGCGCAGGTCAGGAGAACAGGGTTATGTGACCCCTGGAAATGTCACATCTGTCCCTGGAGGTGGCATCCTTCCCCATGCTCTTTCCCAAGTTCAGTTTCTGACCAGCTCATCACCTCCTCTGCCCGGCCTCCTATGCCTTCCCACCGCAGAGCTCTGCCCCAGGCCCTGGAATACATCTTACTTTTTCTCTTTTCAGAGCGGAGGAAGCCCAGCTCTAAGGGTGACTCACGGCCACTCGGATCGCTGTGTATCAGAAGACAGACGCCAGATCCACAGCTGGGCTTTCACACCTGAGGAGGTGGGAGGGGGTTTGTTTTAATAAAGTCGCGCTTGATTAAATAAAATGAGTGAAAAGTAAATTAAGGAATTTAAAGAATTGTGAGGGAGAAGAAAGAGCAGATTGTTATGAACAGTTGGTGAGATATCTGTGCAGATAGACTGCAAAAAAGGGTAGGACACAGCTACTGACTTTCTCTGTCCTCTTTTAAAGGACTGGTGCCTAGATATCTGGGTCACAGCCCTGGGGAGAAATACAAAAACATTCATGCATGACGTGGAGAGAAAATAAAGAATAGAATTACCCAGGAGTGGCTGAGGAGCAAACACAGACGCGTGACTTACGTGTCCCGGAATCAAAACCACTCCTTGCCCAGTGCAGCTATGTAGTCAGCTCTATTATTCTAGCAAAGGAAAAACACAAAACTGAGCTTTGTGAAATATCTGGAGTGAGGCAGTGGAGGAGGTAAGTGATGCCTGTGATGTCCTGGGGTCAGCATTGGCCCCTATTTGCAGAGGCGGCGGTGGTCATGGCGCGAAGCTCCCTCATGGAGGAGGCAGACAGGCTTGTTAGTGTGTCCCTCACAGCCAGCGGTCACCACACCCTGTCGCACCACCATCACCCGGTTCCAAGCCCCTGCGCTTCACACCTTGGCTTCCACAATGGCCTCCCTGATCCCACCTTTCCCTCTGGGTTCATGCCAAGAGCCCAGTTGACCTAGGCTTCCTCACACCCTGCTCCAGCCACGTCCATCTCCCGGCCAGCCATCAGTGATGAATGATCCCTTCCTCTGACTTCAGACCTAATCCCAGCCCACAGGGTAGCAGGCAGGGTTACCCGCTACACACTGCGGGGGTGGGAAGAGGTGCAGGCAAGAGCTCTGTGCTGCTGGGGTGAAACAGACACATTCAGACCCATAGACGACAGCTTGAATCGTGCTTGGGCGTTCATGAGAAACACAGAAAAGGCATTTGACTCAGAGCTGAGCTCTGGTGCTCTTGTTTCAGGTCCGGGGAAGAGACAGCTATGAGATGGAGGCAGTAGGAGGTGAAAGAAAATGGTTTATTTACTGGTTCCTTGTGGCTGAATTGTATACCCACAAAAGGATGTGCTGACGTCTGCACATCTGGAACTGAGAATGTGATGTGACCTCATTTGGAATTAGGGCATTTGCCAATATCAGCAAGTTAAGACAAGGTTGCTGGGGTGAACCCTAACTGTGCCTGCCTGGTGTCCCTATAGGAGGAGAGCTGGAGACAGAGGCAGAGGCGGGCGATGCGACCACAAGCCACTGAGCACCAGAACTGCCTGAAGCATCAGAAGCAAAGAGAAGGACCTGGAGCAGGCTCTCCCTCCCTGCCTCTGGAGGGGCCCACCCTGCCACACCGCCAGCTAGGACTCTAGCCTCTGGACTGCGGAGAGGGCAGAGCCCCTTGCCTGGCCACACAGTTTGTGGAATTTTGTTTACTGCAGCCCCAGGAGGCCAATACCAGGTCCCAGGCAAATTTGTGTCAAAAATGCAAGCTGGCTTCGGCAGCCTGTGCTGGGCTGGTGTTCTGGGCTGTTCTCTTTGCTGCAGGCTGGGCCTCAGGCTGCACTGGGCACCCTCCCTTCCTGTCCGGCCTCTGCTCTTCCTTCAGCAGGCCCAAGGAAACTCCTTCTCCACAGACCAACCCACCCAACACAGGGGGCTGAGGAGCAAACCTTACCAAAGCCTTCTGCTTCACCAAAGCCTCTGCCTCACCAAAGCCTCCGCCTCACCAACGGCTCCACATCACCAAAGCCTCCATCTCACCAAAGCCTCCGTCTCACCAAAGCCTCCACCTCACCAAAGCCTCTGTCTCACCAAAGCCTCCGTCTCACCAAAGCCTCCACCTCACCAAAGCCTCCACCTCACCAAAGCCTCTGTCTCACCAAAGCCTCTGTCTCACCAAAGCCTCCACCTCACCAAAGCCTCTGCCTCACCAAAGCCTCTGCTTCACCAAAGCGTCTGCCTCACCAAAGTCTTCTGCCTCACCAAAGCCTTCTGCCTTGCAGACGTGAGAAGGAAAAGGGCAGTGGAGGGTGGGCAGAGGGAGCCTGGGGAGGCCTGAGACTGCAGAGCACCCCTCCAGGCAGTCAGAGGCCAGAGCACATCCAACACGGCCCCTCCTGGCGGCCTCCCTCCAACTTGGCTGGGTCAGTTAGTGACTCGGCTGCTGAGGAGCTGTGCCTTCAACCGCAGTGCCCTTGGGAGGCGTGAACGGCAGCTGTCACCACAGAACCCAGGCCTTCACCCTGCACAGGGCACCTGAATTAGTCCGACCAGCCTTCCTGGCAGCTGCCTCTTAAAATGGAGTAAACCTATCCAGGAGACAACATTGTGGGGACAGCTGAAAAATGCCGGGTGAGAAAAGGAAGGAGAGACAGCTTATCCTCGCACATATTAAAATATGATATTAATGGCAGCCCAAAAAGGCAAATTAATGGAACAGAAAATCCCAACACCAGATGCAGGCACAGCCGTGCATCCCTGAATGATAGGGATACATTCTGAGAAAGGCGTCACTGGGTGATTCCGTCGTGGGAGAACGTGACAGAGAGGCCTGACACACACCGAGGCTGCTGGTGGAGACCACGGCTCCCAGGCCGAATCTGCACTGAACCCCGGGACAGCGGCGGCACCCGGGTGAGGAGCTGTGGATCCAAACACAGAAAAGCTGTAGGTCCTCACTTCACAGCATCGTAAGGTGCTTGCAGACATACCTGAAGCAAAGCGACATATAAGAGAACCAGTTTTGCCACAGCTGAATTGATATAAGCAATAGTTACATTCCTGCAGTGTATTTCAAGTCACAAAACCATCGCCAAGCCTCTGAATAAAGACTAAAACACTTCTAATACTGAACAGGGAAATAAGTGGGAGCTACATGGACATTTAAGTAAAACAGAAATAGAGACCGGACAGTGATTTCCCACCGACTCCAGGGCAGGGCTGTGATTCTGCAGAGTGTGGACCGGCAGCTCGGCCAGGACACCATCCCGGCTGGCATCAATTCTTTCTCACATCAGTGTTGTACCGAAATGACATTGAATGAGATGATGTCATTTGAGGACCTGCTGCACAGGTGAAATACCATGTTACACTCTCATGGGGCCACCCTCCTCTGTGCGGTCTGCTGGTGACGGAAATGGCACAGCTGCATACCTAAGAGGTTAAGACATCACAATTTGTGAAGTCAGAATGGAAAGGAGGGGTTATCATTATTCATTTGGAAAAAGTAGTTAAATCCTCCATTGTACACCTCACAGCCCAAAATGTCAGAAGGGACAAAAGTGAACGTGTGGAAATTCACTGAAGTACTAGAATAAAGTAAAGGCGATCATTTATGCCATCTTTTGATGGCTACAGCTTTTCCAAGTATAAAGCCTGACTAAATTTAAAACTTTCGGATGTCAAAACACTATAAGCAAAATTTAAATAAACTGCAGAAAAAGGTTTTGCAATATGCATGCAAAGCATCAGTGCTGCCCATAGAAAACTCACACTAAGGAGTAAGAGAAGAAGGAACCCACTCATGGCTGTGCAGGAGGATTCCGAGCTGGAGGGAGCAGAGGGTGAGGATGGAGCGGGAGCTGCTGGGACACGTGTGGGAGGGAGATCAGGACACAGGCTGCTAGCGGAGGCCCCGCGCTCACCCCTGCGATGGAGGGAAGGAGGGAAGGTGTGTCTGTAGGTAACTGGCAGGTAAGGAAGAAGGAGTCTGAGTTCATCTAAGCCTCAGGTTTTGCAAGCGGGTGGAGACATTACCATGACTGGGAGCAAGAAGCAGAGCCTCGCAAAGAGGTTTCCAAAAATAGCGAACAACTAGGATCATTGCTGTGTGTCCCCCTCAACAGAGAGCTGCGGAATGGCCCAGGCGTGTTGTAGGAGATGGAAGAGAACAGGAACCAAAGACCAGCCATGGTCTAGAGGCGTGGATGCAAAGGAGGCTGGTGCTGAGCACACACTGGCACCATGAGGCTCTCTCCAGCTCTGCTCTGCCACCCTGAGGATGGGAAGAAGGCCAGGGGATGGCGCAAGTGGGAGCCAGGCGAGGAGAGCTGGGGTTCAAAGGAAACTGGGATGTTAACAGGGAAGACTGCAGCAGACCAGTGGCAATGACAGACCCTGCAAGCAGAAGCTGGAGCAGAGTGGGGTTGGGAGGGAGTGGGGTGCACAGCGGACGCTCCATCCAGGGCAGGTTTTAGATTTCAGTGATAGGGCGTATCCTCCTAAGATCCAGAATGCACCAGAAACACAGGCTAGTATGCTGAAATGACCTAAAAATTTCATCAGGGCTGCCTTCCACAATTAACTGTACTTGGGGCAAGCCCGTTTGGTATAGATAATTCACTGATAATTGTTTTATTGATTAATTTGTCATTTTTCTATGAAGACAAAAAACAACCGTGCACATCTACCTTCACTTCCCCTTAAATAGCTTGCTGGGCTCCAGGCACAAAGGGAACTAGTGGAGGTCTTATCTACCCAGGCCACGGTGCAGACCGGCTGACAGCCGTTGTCAGAGGCTGGCCATGGGGGGAAGTTCATGCCTGCGCTGCTGATTTAGGAAATAACGCTCAGCCTCATATGTCAGGCTGTTTGAGTTTCCGAGGCACCTGGAAACTAATCCGTCAGGAAGAAATAAAAGGCTTTGGAGATCATTTTTCCTTTAAAAAGACTAAGCACTCCATGTTTGTTTGAAAAATATTAGTGGTTGTAAGGCCATATCAAAATCTAAACCAATACATATTGACTTTTTAAAATCATGCAATAAAATGCAGCTATATCTGAAAATACAAGACATGAGTAGTTGTACACATTCCTTTTAAAATGGTTAAAATAACTTGGCCCCCAAGACATGAATTAATAAGGACATACACCCAAGAAAGTAGCCCATATTTCAATGCGGACCTATCTCTAAGTCTCACCACTGGGTAAGACAGCCGCCCCGCACATGCGCGCAGAGGTACTGAAGGAGAGGTGACGTAAGCCTGGCAGGACTTGTGGATCAGTTATGTCTCAATAACCGACCTTCAGTTAATGAAAAGTGAGACCCCAATATTTCTAAGTAGTGAACAG